CCCCAAACCGAAGCGCGGGCCGAGACGGACAACAGGCCCAAAACAGCCCTCGCCGAAACCCCAGAAGGCACCCCCCCCAATTTGTTAAGGGAAAGAAAAATATTCTAAATAGTTAACTTTGGAAAAAGGTTGGGTGTTTCTCTTCCTCTCCCAGGTGCGCTCAGCGAGCTGCGTGTGGCCCCCAAGGAAAACCAGCAAGATATGCGAACGTCACAGAATCACAGAATTTAATCCAACAAAAAACAGCTTATGACACAAATCTCATAACACTTGATTATTGACTGGATTCACTCTCAACAGTGACTTTTTTTAACTCTTTGATATGGGATTTAAATGACAGGTCCTGATCAAAAATAACACCAAGATTTTTTACTTTATTATCTGAAATCAGTTTAATCCCATCCAAATGAAGTGACTGGCTAATCAGTTTCTTTTTCAGAGACTCTGGTCCAAAGACTATAACTTCTGTTTTGGTCTGCATTCAGAAGCAGAAAATAAGAGTCATCCAGGTTTTTATGTCTTCAAGACATGCCTGTAATCTATGTAATGGGTTAGCTTCATCTGGATTTATAGACAGATATAGCTGGGTATCATCAGCATAACAGTGGAAATTAATCCCATGCTGTCTAATAATTCTACCAATTGGGAGCATGTATAAAGTAAAGAGAATTGGTCCTAGCACTGATCCCTGTGGTACTCCACAGGTAACCTTTGAGCGTGTTGAAGATCTATCATTAACATGAACAAACTGAATTCGATCAGATAGATAAGATTTAAACCAGTCTAGTGCTGTTCCTTTAATTCCAACAAAATATTCAAGTCTTTCTAAAAGAATATTATGGTCAACTGTATCAAATGCAGCACTAAGATCCAACAGGACGAGCACAGATACAAGTCCATTATCTGAGGCCATGAGAATATCATTAGTGACTTTCACCAGAGCTGTTTCAGTGCTATGATGAGCTCTAAAGCCAGACTGAAACTCTTCAAAAAGTTCATTATGGTGGAAGTGATCGCAAACTTGTTTGGCAACTACTTTCTCAAGAATTTTGGATAAGAAAGGAAGATTGGATATAGGTCTATAATTGACCAAGTCATCTGGGTCAAGAGACGGTTTCTTAAGCAGAGGTTTAATTACAGCAATCTTAAAAGATTTAGGTACATATCCCTGTAACAGAGATAGATTAATCACATCTAAAATGGAGGAGGAGATCAAAGGGAATACCTCCTTAAATAACCTGGTTGGAACTGGATCTAACATACAAGTTGAAGGCTTAGATGAAGACAATAATTTTGCTAATTCAGAGAGTTCAACTGGATCAAAGCAGTCTAAACCCGGTTCAGATTCCATGACTACCTCAGGTACAATCGCGGATAGAGGAGTGCTTATGATCTTATTTTTAATAAGATCAATCTTATTTATAAAGAATCCCATAAAATCATTGCTGCTAAGAGCAGGTGGAATGGACGGTTCAACAGAGCTATGGCTCTGGGTGAGTTTGGCAACTGTATTAAAAAGAAATCTAGGATTATTCTTATTCTCCTCTATTAATGAGGAGAAGTATGCTGCTCTTGCTTTACAAAAGGGTCCTCTTATACAGCAGTAAACCATTTTTCCAGACTAGGAAGGACTCTCGCAGGCCTGTGGAGCGATATTTTCTCTCCAGTTTCCTAGCATTTTGCTTCAAAGTACGCAGCTCTGCATTAAACCAAGGAGCAAGCTTTCTATTTTTAACGGTTTTCATTTTCAAAGGAGCTGCGTTGTCTAAGGCAATACGCAGAGAACTAGCAACCCCCTCAACAAAATCATCAACCTGTGAAGGGGAATAAGCTAAGCTTTTGCACTCTGCAGCACTGCTCAGTGACACAGAGCAGAGAGAAGTTGAAGCAGATTCTTTAAAATTTATAACTGCACTATCTGATAAAGATCTACTAAAATTGAACCTTCTTTTGGGGGAGGAGAACTCTGTTAAAGTAATCCTGAAGGTTATTAGAAAGTGGTCAGAGAGGACAGGGTTGTGAGGAAATACTGTTATTTCTTCACATTCTATGCCGTATGTCAGCACAAGATCCAAAGTATGAAGATGAGAATGCGTGGGACTATTCACATTTTGAACAAAGCCAATAGTGTCTAAGATAGCATTAAAGGCTGCTCTTAAGCTATCGCCTTCAATGTCAGCATGGATGTTAAAATCTCCCACTATGATGACCCTGTCAGTATTTAATACCAAATCAGAAAGGAACTCTGAAAACTCATCTAAAAATTCAGAGTAAGGACCTGGTGGACGATTCAAAGTTACAAAAAGAAGAGGTTTTCTTGCCTTGAAATTTGGATCAGGGAAATTAAGGGTTAAATGTTCAAAAGAGTTGTAGGAATTAATTGTTTTGGGAGTAATCAGTAAGTCAGACTCGAAGATTGTTGCTACTCCTCCTCCTCGCCCAGAACTTCTGGGGATGTGAAAATTTAAATAGCTTGAAGGAGTTGCCTCATTTATGCTCACATAATCCTCTTGCTGCAGCCAGGTTTCTGTAAGGCAAAACAAGTCAATGTGATTATCACAAATCAAGTCATTAACTAGTAGACTTTTAGAGGAAAGCGATCTTATGTTAAACAGACCGCATTTAATTGTTTTAACTTTTTCCCCAATTGGAGTTATTTTGATTTTAATTAGATTATCATGATTTACTCCTTTGGGAATCTTTGCTAATTTATTAGATTTTGGTCGTGGGCAAGACACTGTCTGGATGGAGTAAAGAGTGTCATCAGCCACCCAAGCTGCTGGCACCACCTCGACTTCTTGGGTCTCTTCAAATTCAACAATGTAAAACATTGCCTAGAAGAGGAAGAGGGTACAACAACACAAAGATAATTTTACAAATACTAGACAAACTCATACACATTCCCAACTGAATAATTACATTAACCCCTTAACAGGTCCCCCCCATATGCCAAAAACTGCTAAAAAATGCATATCCCGAATTAAATTAGCTGCTGCTCTTGATCCCTTTGGAGTACATGCAAAAGCTTGGCCTCTATGTAAAGATAAAAAAACGGCCCGTGGGCGGGACCTGGACATTTAAGGGGTTAAATATGGTATACAACTTACACTTAGATGGGTGAAGGCTGACTGAACTGTAACTTGCTGCTGAGCTGCACATTAAGTATATGAATAATAAATTAAACTGAAAATGAAAACAAATGAAAACAGTGCAGCTAATGTAGAATCAGTCTGCATGCAGAAGAGGCACAACAACAAACCCTGCCTCCAAAGGTAAGCGAACACACTTCTGTACAGTGTCCAACTTAAAGCACATAAGGTGTGATGAGAGATCTGACACAAAAGAAATTCCCAAATTTGAGGAGTCAATGGGATAGTCAAAAAAGCTTGTAATCTTTAAGTATTCTTTGCAAACCAGGTATTCCTGACCCTCAAAAACAACTATATTCTGGACCAAAAGTATCTTGCCATTCATTTTAATGCATCTGTCCCTCTCTGACAAATTAATAACAAATTTATCAATTTCTAGTTCTTTAAATTGGGAGACAGTTGCCACAAAACCCTCTGGGACAGGTCCATCTGAATGCGAAATTTTGAGATTTTTTCCAGTTTTCAGAGTTTCTTCTGGTAAACTTGTTGTTTTAAGCTCTGAAATCCTGCGTATCGCTTGTTGCAGTGGTGAAGTAGGCTTCCTAACCATGCCTTTAATGCTTTTTAAATAGTTCTCAAAAGGAAATCCAGATATCAGGTCCAAGTTCCCATGTACCCTTACATCTTCACTGAGGTGAATCAAGCCATGTATGTTATACACTACAAATTCCTGCCCATAAAGTTGCCCAAAATGTTTAACAAATGCTCTGAGGAGGGTTTTCGCAAAGTCATTCAACATCAAACAATAGGTTGGACTCGCCAGAATGTAAATGCTCACAGATAAGAGCATAAAATTTTGATACACCTCAGGAGCCAGAACATCTTTCAAAACAACTGGGCCAGTGTAAAGTAGGAACTGTCGAAGTTCTGTTGCCTTCCATCTTAATCTTTCATCAAGCCCCCTTGGTCTTCGGGCAAATTCAGAGGGTATGTACATTCTGAGAGCAAGTAACTTGGCAGAAATCAGTGAGACCTGCCTGGATGAAATGCGGGATTTTAACTTCCCACATGTGCCAATCCATAAATCAAGTAGACGACGCATCACACCTAAGCAAACTAAATGCATATAGTCGTGTGGAAAGCCACTGACCATAGGAACAGATGTTTCACAAAATGGTGAACGTTTTATGTGGTGGTCCTCATCCTCTGCATTTGAAAAAGATTCATCTGTTCTCAGTCTAGCATTTACCTCTGGGAATGTCATGCGGTTATTAACATATACACCTGACTGTACACATTTGTCACAGCCACTGTAGCCATTGTGTGATTTAATACCTTTAACAAAGGCCCTTGCGGGAGCATCGCAAATTATTGAGCACACAGTGAGGAAAAAGGTTTTACCATTAACAACAAATCCATTGCTCAGGGACTTCAGTTCACAAACCAGATCCCTTAGATATTCTGATAAAGACTGAGGTTTTGAGTTCCCACAGAAAATGGCTATTGGGACAGGTCTCCGGCTGAACCCTTGCAGAATTCCCAAGACTGGCCAAAACTGAACAGATGAGCTTTTAAAAATTGGAAGACCGTCAATATTCAATTGCAATTTAAAGTTGTGACTATCTGGAACAATGAATGCAAGTCTCTGAAATATTTTAGTGAACATATTCTGTATCCCAAAATAGTGGAATGATCCACCTGCCAAGGGTCTAACAGCATGGCAAACCTGTGTCTTTAACAATGTTCTGGCATCTTTGGGCAAAGAAGGATGATGAACTTTTAGAATAGACAAGAGGGCAGACAAAGCAATCAGGGAAATCCCAAACTGTGTACTCCAGTCTCTCAAGCAACTTGCTAAATCCCTTGTGTCATGAACATCATTTCCGTCATCGTCATCATCACAACTTAATCCACCATCTCCGCTGTCTATGTCAAAGTTTGGTGGTGAATCAGCGATTGCCTCCGAGGTTGAAGGAATCACTTCATCCTGAAAACTGCACTCTTCGTCACTGTCAACCTCAAGCTCATGCTTGTCATTTAAAGAGTCAAAGAACTGTTTAACTCTTTTGACAGCTCTTTTCCTTAAATTACTGCGTGTGGTATTCCACTGTTCTTTATCCATGGCACTACAGGATCACTAACCTATTTGGTGTTTAGCAATTTGTGCAGCTCAGCAGCAGAATGATACTCTGAAAGAGAAAGAAATGACACATTGGTACATCATATATCAGTACATTTGTTTATTTATTTGACAGGGACAGTGCAAAGGTAAACAGCATGAGGGCAAGGTGTGCATTTGTAAAAAAAATAAATAAATAAATAAAAAAATGTGTTTCTCCAGAGATTCCTACCTTGAATGAGTTCAATCGTTTTTGCCACCACCAGATTTCTGTAACAATATTGCAAAACTCATCATAACAGTATAATACACTGTTGTTAAAATGTATAATATATAGGGATGCACAATATAATCAGCCGCTATCGATATTGGCCTAAAGTGAGTGTCATCATCCCATCACCCCACCGATATTTAAACGATATTCAACCGACCAGCCCACTGTTTCAGTGTATCAATATTTTTTTCCACCCCTATTTTTCAAAGTGTTGGAAACGGATAACAAACTGTTTGCAATCACTACTTATTTTTTCAGCTTTAATATTGGTATCAATATCAGTTATCGGCCACAAGTTTTAAAATATCAGCATATCGGATATCAGCGAAAACTCCAATATCGTGCATCCCTAATAATGTAGCACTGCGTCTTTTTCCTTCACAAAAATAAAGTCATACAAACAAAAAAGTCATTCACATTTTGCTTTAGACAAATAGAAATTATGTATTTATTTTCCTAGGGATGTAGTTGAAGCTGAATCAAAGAAATGCAAGGTCTTTTTTTTTTTTTAAAGCAAAATATGAAAGCCAAAATATGCTTACACTGGCCACTGAATTGCTCACAACACAGCATTCTTTTGGAAGAGCATGCAAGTTCAAACAATGCATAATAGTACATAAACTGAATAATTATAACAGTTAACCATTTTAAATTTTTTTCCATGTTCAATCTAAACTATTTTCTTGTCAGTATACAACATCTAACCAAGGGTGAAAGTAGTTTTAAATTCTTGCCGGTACTAACTGAAACATTAATCTATCTCTTTATAAATGAGTAGATGAAAATAATTCACTGCAAAAAAAATGACATCTAAATAAGTAATTTCTTCTTAAAATAAGTGCATTTTTCTTGAATTAAGGATTTAAGTGAGACACTTTGCCAATGGAACAAGACAAGTTACACTTAAAATAAGAAAAAAACAATTGATTTGTCTTATTTCAAGTGCATTTTATCTAGATGCCTTATTTTAAGAGTAAAAATACTAATTCCATTGGCAAATCATCTTATTTAACTTCTCAAATTAAGGGTAAATACGCTTAATTTAAGACATTTTTACTCATTTTGAAATCATTTTTGCAGTGTTCTTTATGCACATTTACATTTTGTATTAGGGCTGGGCGATATAGAAAAAAAGCTTATCGATAAAAAAAATGCATATTGATCGATATCAATAATTATTGAAAAGATTTGAAACCATATTTTATGTGCAGCTCTGCCTGGACATTTTATGATATTGCTAAATGATTTAATTTTAATTTTTCTAACAACTGAGAGAAAAATGCTGAGGGGCCAGCAACTTCAAAGTAATAACTCAGGTTAAAGCAGGAAACTAAGCTGAACCATAACGAGGTGCCAGCAGCTCCTCTAGAAGAATAGGGGTGAGAAAAAATAGCCCATAGAAATGCTAGGCTAAAGGGTGAGTTGATTTGGGTTTTTGTTCTTGTTGAGTGGAGTTTACATGGTAGCCTAGTCCTACAATCTTTTAATTACCACAAGCTGGTGGTGTACTATTCCCTCCCATATAGGGTATTCTATTTATGTATTTGTTATATTTATTTTGGTCACTTTTCTGATCACTTTAGTTTATTCTTTGTCAGTATACATAACTCATGTCTCTTAAGTTATTTTTCTTTAAAAAAATTCTGTTATGGTTAAAAAAGTTGGTTAAATAAATATTTAATTGGAAGTCTGTGTTTTTGTTCTTTATTAAAATTAAATCATTTAGCAATATCATAAAATGTCCAGGCAGAGCTGCGCATAAAATATGGTTTCAAATCTTTTCAATAATTATCGATATCGATCAATATGCATTTTTTTTTTATCGATAAGCTTTTTTTCTATATCGCCCAGCCCTAATGCTTAGTGGAACACAATTGTGAAATCACGCACGTCACGATGTTTATGGAAACCAAACAAACATGGAGGTAACCGGCGTATGGATGTTTTCAGGTAATCAGATCTCTCTGAGTAGAAATAAACTCATAGATCAACTGTTTACTGAGCACGTGGGTGGGGGTGTGTGGGGGGGGCTGAAAATCCTGAGAAACACGTGTTTCTCCATCTTCTCCACGGCCGAAGTGGCACCAACTTCCAGACTGAACTATGCTGCAGAGAAGCAGCTTTATTTTAATGCTGCATATTTATCACCGCTGTTCTTCTACCTGCTGCGGTCACTGTCTCTTTCTTTACCGGATGCATTTCACACACGTTTTCTCTTCTGGCTTCACAGCGGCACGCCCTCTCACTCACGTTCACACGCTGCGCTGCCTGGACCACAAAAATTTTTTTCCACAACACTTTCATTATTTTCGAGATTGATGTTCAATCAGAGCCAGAAAAATATAATTTAACTGATTCATCCATTTTTTACGCTCAGTGTCCGTCTCCTCTGGTGCAGAAATAAGCAGGTCAGTCTTGGAGGGATGCGACATGCCGTACAGACTGCGGTCGCCTTTTTTATGTGTTGCTAAAGTTAAATTGCTGCTTTGAACTCAAACACTGCTGCTGTCCTACTGATTTTAAATAGGGCATTTTGCAATACACATGAAGTAATTAATCTTGCAGTAAACGAATGTTCAGGGAGCAGGGGAGACCACCGGACTTCTGGAGGAGAGGAGGAAGGGCAGGACACCAGTGCCAGCATGAACTAAAACTCAGCTCAGACAGTTAAATTCGGATTGGATTAAAATGGATTTTCAAACAGACAAAGTAGTTTTAAAGAGCATAATTTGCTGGTAGATCTTTTTTTTTTTTTAAACAGTGCAGTCGTGATGGTTCGCTAATCTTTTAGTGGTAGCTACACAATACTGGACCATACCAGCTTACTTTCACCCCTGTTAACTGAAATTTAACTAGCTAACGTTTTTTTGTACCACTGGCAGCTAAAAAAAAAAAACATGTGAAGTTCCAACAATAAAAGCTAAACGTTTCCCACAGACAGATTAAGGCATTCATTTATTTTTCTTAAGGGACTCACCTCCCCGTTGCGTCCTCTCCTGGATAGACCTCACGGCTCCCGCACTTTCTGCTCCCGAGCGCGCTTTGTAAATTCGAATATGATGCATTCAAAACACTCGTAATTTGGATAACTCCAACTTGAAACGAAAAAAAATGTCACGGAAAATAGAATTTGAATAAAGATACGATCCTTCACGGCATACAGACTTAACAATGTTGCCTTAATTTTAAAGTACAAAAGACACTGCCACTGTGAGGCACATAGTGTAGGTCTGCTTTGTTAATTTGCATTTACAATTTACATTTCCAATGGTCAGCTTTCAATCATTTTATGTTTGGCAGAGAGCAGGTGGGAGCAGTATCTTTCCACAAATGAACTCTCACGCTTTGTCTTACTCAATTTAGCTTACATCTTTATTTAATTCTTTGGACAAAACAAAATACATGACACAATATTTAAAAATATAAATAAATAAATAAAATATATATATATATTTTTCTTTTTTTTTCTTTAATATATATATATATATATATATACAGTCTATATATATATATATATAAATATAAATATATATATATATATACATATATCTACATATATACATATATATATATATATATATATATATATATATACACATATAGTCTATAGTCCAATATATGAGCAATATATATATATGCAGTGTTGTGCCTGAACGCGTTCATTGAACGAAAGTTCATGAACTCGTTCATATTTTGGGCGAACGTGAACTGAACGTACTGCATTACTGCCTGATGAACGTTATTGTGAACTCGTTCATTCTGGTGTCTGTGAACGGCACGCTCTCTCAGTTCAGCTCCGTTCAATAGGTTGCCAGATTTCTATAGAGTCCTCCAGGCGAAACCCCGGCTAAATCACACCGTAAACAGGCCTTAATATGTAGCGGGAAAAACACCCAATCTGGCAACAGCAGCTACCAGCGTCGTAGCCTACAGCCGCGTGCGTCATCAAAACAAAATGCAGCGTGGAAGCTACATCAGCATGTAGGCTACCGTGGAGGCGACAAAGCAGCAGTATGATCACTTAAAACAGTTTTATGACCAGGTGGTAGGTAAGGATGATGGCAACAAGTTTGCCCGCCGGCTTTCAGTAAAAAAATCCGCACTTCAGTAACCTTAAATTCCTACCTCAGCCTGGTCCCTCAGTTTGTGTTAGTAAAATCTTCTTCAGCGGAGGTCTTCAACAGGGGATCCGCGACCCCTAGGGGGTCTACGGAGGTACTGCATGTGGATCTGCATGGTTAGTTGATATTTTTATATTCCCCCCTGCAATTTTTTCCCCCACTAATTGAAATGTCTTTAAATACTCATTAACATGAAATCAACACACTGTAGTAAACAGATAAATGGAAACAAAGATGTCTTTCAGTCATCAATGCTCACATTCAGCGACACACAGGAGCTCTTTCAAGCTGGGCACCGTTTCCTTCACAACAACCAGGAATCAGAATCAGAAAAACTTTAATAATCCCAGGGAGAAATTAATTTCTTTAAATTACTCCATCTGTAATAGAGTGACTATAGGACACAATTTCATACAAAATATATAAATAGGGGGTCCCCGCTCCATCTCGCCATCAGTTTGGGGGTCCTTGGTCTGTAGACCCCTGTTCTTGAGGGTTTTACTATCCATGTAACTTGTTTGTTAAACCTGCCTGGTATAATTTTCCAGGATTCCAGTATTCCTTTTTAGTATGTATTGAAATGGAATTTCAAATGGAAAAAATTATAAAAAAAAAAAAAAAAAACATTTGCACCTTAAAGACTACTTTCCTATTTTTCTTTTAATAATTCCTCATAAAAAGACCATTCAAGCAGCACATTTTTCCTGATGTTTTTGAGAATATACTGTAGGGGTGAAAGCTGCAGCTGCTACTAGTGTGAAGTGAACGGACAGCAACAAAGCATTAAAGCAACAATGGGGAAATGCTGTCCCCTCAATGCTAATGTAAACTCTGGTTGGATAAGGATTCAAAACTGGATATGAAGATGAAATCTGACGCACAGTTTCAGTGTTACAACTGATAAAATAATTGCTGTCTGGACAAAAAAAAAAGAACTATGAACTAGTTCATTTTTTGGAATTGTGAACTATGAACTGAACTAGTTCATTTTAAAATGTGTGAACTGAACTTTGAACTAGTTCATGTAGAAAGAGAACTTTCCCAACACTGTATATATGTGCATATATATATATATACACGTATATGTGCATATATATATACACGTATATGTGCATATATATATATACGTGTATATGTGCATATATATATATACGCGTATATGTGCATATATATATATACGCGTATATATATACACACATCTATATACGCGTATATATATACACACGTCTATATACGCGTATATATATACACACGTCTATATACGCGTATATATATACACACGTCTATATACATATATATACACACGTCTATATACGCGTATATATATACACACGTCTATATACGCGTATATATATACACACGTCTATATACATATATATACACACATCTATATACATATATATACACACGTCTATATACATATATATACACACGTCTATATACATATATATACACACGTCTATATACATATATATACACACGTCTATATACATATATATATACACGTCTATATACATATATATACACGTCTATATACATATATATATACACGTCTATATACATATATATATACACGTCTATATACATATATATATACACGTCTATATCCATATATATACACGTCTATATACATATATATATACACGTCTATATACATATATATATACACGTCTATATACATATATATACACGTCTATATACATATATATACACGTCTATATACATATATATATACACGTCTATATACATATATATATATACACGTCTATATACATATATATATACACGTCTATATACATATATATATATACACGTCTATATACATATATTTACACGTCTATATACATATATATACACGTCTATATACATATATATACACGTCTATATACATATATATACACGTCTATATATATATATATACACGTCTATATACATATATATACACGTCTATATACATATATATATATATATATACACGTCTATATACATATATATATATACACGTCTATATACATATATATATACACGTCTATATACATATATATATATACACGTCTATATACATATATATATATATACACGTCTATATACATATATATATATATACACGTCTATATACATATATATATATATACACGTCTATATACATATACATATATATATACGTCTATATACATATACATATATATACACGTCTATATACATACACACACACACACACACACACACACACACACATATATATGTATATATATGAAAGGGAGCAGAAGGAAGAAAATCTTATATATAATCTACCCCTTCTCACACTCAAATTGTTATACCGATCATAAAAAGATCTATTTAATTTGAGTCAACTTTGTTAGAGCAGGGAGATTTGGGAAACCTGCTGGATTGTGCCCTCATAAGACTGAATTGAGTAACCCTGGCCTCTTGGAATGAAAATGTGCATTCACTGAATTGAATTGACATTAATTTTAAACAGGGACATTAGACAAAAAACATTAATCTTGTAAGAGAATATATACATACATACATACATATATATATATATATATATATATATATATATATATATATATATATATATATATATATATATATATATATATATATATATATATATACAGGACTGTCTCAGAAAATTAGAATATTGTGATAAAGTTGTTTATTTTCTGTAATGCAATTAAAAATCATGAAATGTCATACATTCTGGATTCATTACAAATCAACTGAAATATCGCAAGCCTTTTATTGTTTTAATATCGCTGATTATGGCTTACAGCTTAAGAAAACTCAAAAATCCTATCTCAAAATATTAGAATATTTCCTCAGACCAAGTAAAAAAAAATTATAACAGCAAAACAAAATCAAACATTTGCAAATGTCCATTAATGCACTCAGTACTTGGTTGGGAATCCTTTTGCACAGATTACTGTATCAATGCGGCGTGGCATGGAGGCAATCAGCCTGTGGCAATGCTGAGGTGTTATGGATGCCCAGGATGCTTCAATAGCGGCCTTTAGCTCATTTGCATTGTTGGGTCTGGTGTCTTTCAGCTTCTTCTTCACAATACCCCACAAATTCTCTATGGGGTTCAGGTCAGGGGAATTGGCAGGCCAATTAAGGACAGTAATGCCATGGTCAGTACACCAGTTACTGGTGGTTTTGGCACTGTGGGCAGGTGCCAGATCATGCTGGAAAATGAAATCATCATCTCCATAGAGCTTTTCAGCAGATGGAAGCATGTAGTGCTCTAAAATCTCTTGGTACACAGCTGCATTTACTCTGGACTTGATGAAACGCAGTGTACCAACACCAGCAGCTGACATGGCTCCCCAAACCATCGCTGACTGTGGGAACTTCACTCTGGATTTCAGACAACTTGGATTTTGCGCCTCTCCAGCCTTTCTCCAGACTCTTGCGCCTTGACTACCAAATGACATACAAAACTTGCTTTCGTCTGAAAAGAGGACTTTGGACCACTCTGCAACTGTCCAGTGCTTCTTTTCCATAGCCTAAGTCAGACGCTTCTTCCGTTGTCTTGAGTTCAGAAGTGGCTTGACCATGGGAATACGGCTATTGTAGCCCATTTCCCAGACACGTCTGTGAACAGTGGCTTTTGATACCTGGACTCCAGCTTCAGTCCACTGTCTTTGAAGCTCCCCCAAATTCTGGAAGCGGCTCTTCTTCACAATGCTGTTAAGGCTGCGGTCACCTCTCTTGGTTGTGCAGCGTTTCCTGCCACATTTACCCCTTCCAACACACTTTTTGTGAATGTGCTTTGAAACTGCACTCTGTGAACAGCCTGCTCTTTGAGAAATTTCTTTTTGTGTCTTACCCTCCTGATGGAGGGTGTCGATGATGGTCTTCTGGACAAGTCAGATCAGCAGTCT